GGGGATTTTAAATACTAATTAGGAGATTTTGACCAAATCAATAAATGCAGGTATGTGGAAAGACATGTAGATTGAAAAAAGTTAATAAATGCTGATCATGGATTTTGACCAAATCAATAAATGCTGAGTTTTGTTTTTTTTTAAATAAAAAATTTGAAATTTCAGATTGAGATATTAAAGCTCCCACAGATGTTGGAGGTTAAAAACTCCATTTTGCTTAATATATAGTATAGATAGATGACCCAATGTCTCAATATGAGAATCAAAGTTTCTATCAAATAAATGACTAAATATCTCACTTAGTTGTAGCTATGTAAGACATTTGATCATTTATTTGGTAAAGAATTTGGGGCCTATAACATTTTCTTTTCAAAAAATTGAGTTAACTTTTTAAAAAATTTTAAATATATATTTTTCATAATTTTTGTTATTAAATTTTTAAATATTTTATGTAAATATTTTATTTTTTAAATACATATAATCTAAATATTCTTAAAAAGTTTAATATTTGTGAAAAAAACTTTAAAAAATTTCGTCAAATACAAAAAATATAATGAAGTTTTTTAGATACACCTAATCGTATTTTATTGGATTCAATAAATTTTTTAAAGATTTTTACATAAATGTTTTACTTTTTAAGTATATTAAGATTACGTAAATTTAAAAATTAAAAAAAAATGATTAAAATATTTTTTAAAATTATTAAAAATATAAAAATAAATTAAAAACCCATAAAACTATTTTTGAAAATAGAAAATCAAACAAGGTGAATAATATACAATGTTGGGTATATAACTTTGCTTGATTTTCACAATTTACATTTCATTTCAAGATGGTTTTTTTTAAAGTAATTATTTGATTTTTATTTCATTTCAAGATGGTTTTTTTAAAAGTAATTATTTGATTTTTTTTTAAAAAGTGTAAAAAATATAGAAAATGAATTGATTTTTTGTATTAGATTTTATTTATTTATTATTATTATTATTATTATTATTATTATTTTGACTATTTTAGCCAATTGTCAAACATCAGGCTTGTTTTAAGGAAAAGCTAAAAACAACCCTTATTAGTGTTAAAAAAATATGTAAAAAAATGTATAAAAGTGTAATACGTAAGATGATGATGGGATATAATATGTTATAGGATATGAGATGGATTATATATATATAGTGTGGGGTCACTTGTACTATATTTAGTTAAGATAAGATATAGGATGAGATAAGAGAAAAGTACTTATTTTTGACATTTGAATGAAAGTTTAGCTATATCTGACAGTGGGGGATATATAATATCATAGGGTGGTATTGCATATCCCTTTTTGCATTATATACCATTCGGACTCCTCATATCCAGAGCAACCAAGCATCTGATATAGGGAGACAAAACGATATGTGAAACCCACCTCATATTATGTCTAGTTCCACACCCATATTTAACTTTTATATTCGGAAACAAGAGCCTTAGTACATTTACATTTTTACCAAAATTTCATTTTAATCCCTTCACTATAAATTGTAACAATCAATTCAACTGGGTACCTACACTTTAAATCAAGTTGCAATCTTATCCTTTCCATCCGTCTATCATAACAAAGTTGACAAAACTTGTCATGTGAAGCATGTGTGACATTTTGTTATTTCAATAGAATCCTTATATTTTTATTAAAATCTCACTTTGATCTTCACACTTTCACCAAATCTCATTTTAGTTCATTCACTTTCAATTTTCATTAGTTTTATTAACAATAAATGGACAAAAGGCTGAGATTGAAATTTGATTTAAAGTGTAAGAGATTGATTGTTACAATTGAAAATGAAATGATCAAAGTAAGATTTTAGTAAAAATACAGAAATACTAAATGTATAAAAGTATATTAAAATATGTAAAAATATTTTAAAATGTGTAAAGAATGTATTGAGAATATATATATAAACCTTTCAGTTTTCATTTTTTGGGATAAAATTTATGAAATCATCATAACTGGCTTGATTCTTTTTCAATTTTGCTACATATTTTTACTAAATTTATCAATTACAACATAACAAGTGTGAGGCCACACTTTGGCTAGGTTTGGCTATATGGGTTGGGTTGAGTTGGATTGGGTTAAATTAATCACTAAAACATAAAATAAAATATTATATTTAAGTCATAATTATTTTACTTTTTTTCTCTCACAAAAATTAAAATGGCCCCAAAACTTTTGCCAAACGAATTTTTTAGTCCTCACCAAAAAAGTCTTAACTAAATTTTTTTTCTCTCATGTATAAATTTTTTTTCTCTCATGTACTCACTCAGGAACATCCATGCAATCTCCAAAAAAACATGAACACTTTGATATTTCTCTCAACCCACTTTCTCTTCCTCCTACTTCTCTATATCTTCATTCACCGAAATCTACTTCCCAAGTTCAATCACACCATGTTTATTAACTTGGCTTTTTCCATTACCAACTTCAATTCAGCTTGGAATTTCTTGTTTCATCACTCAAAATCTCATAATCTCAAGAGCCATGTGCCGGATAACCAAAAGGATATCAGAATCCGGCTATGAAGCACGGATACTCCGAAATAGGTCACGTATGCGTGTCGGATACGTATCGGATACGGATACGCGCCCGATATGCGAGGATACGTATCAGATACGGGAAATGAAGTATTCGATTTTTTTTTTAATTTTGAATTTCGGATACGTCTCGAATACGCGAGGATACGGTCTGGATACGGTATGGATATGATATGGATACGGCGGGGGCAAAAAAATAATTTAAAAAACTTAAAATGGGGTGATATTGTAAAATATGAAAATAAAGATGAAATAAAACACAAAAAAAAAAAAGAAAAATAATAAACCAAACTCTGTCTTACCTAGGTATTCGACGCAGCCGCGAAGGAGGAGGAGAAGCAGCTCGCCGATCGTCTCGAACAGCAGCTCGTCGATCGTCTTGAACAGCTCGTCGATCGTCTCGAACAGCTCGCCGGTCGTCGATCAGGTTCGCGATCAGGTTCGTCCTTCTCTCTCTCCCTTTCGCTCCCTCTGTCTGTCACGAACTCTCTCTCTCTCCCTCTCCCTCTCGATCTCACTCGATCTGTCTGTCTGGACTCTGGTTCGAGATGTCGATCTCATCTCCCCCCCTCTTCGTCAATCTGTCTCTCCCCCTCCCTTACCTATGTCTGTTTGCATATTTATTTGTATGATTTTAGTTATTTTTTATTTTTTATATGTAGACTCTGCAAATCACATGTATTATTCGGTTTAAATAAAACAAATAAATAAATAAAACAAATAAATAAATGAACAAATAAGGTAAAAAAACAAATAAATAAATAAACTTATTAATAAATAAATAAATAAAATAAGGTAAAAAAAACTTAGTAATAAATAAATAAACTTATTAAAAATAAAATTTGTCAACTTATAAAATTATAAACTTTGTAAACTTATTAATAAATCAAATAAGGTAAAAAAAAATTATTAATAAATAAATAAATAAACTTATTGATAAATAAATGAACTTTGTAAATTTTCCCCCCCTTAATTTGGGATTGAATTGCATGATGGTTGTTATGGGTGATGCTATATTGTTAAAATTGTTGAAATTTAATTGAATTGATGAATTTTTTGTTATGGATAAGGATGATGCATTATGGTTGTTATGGGTGATGCTATATTAATGTTTTTTTTTTTTATTTGTTTACCATAAATTTTAGGAAATGAGTTTAGGTACGGGAAGTTTAGGTTCAACAAGTGGTACATCAATGGAAGAAGATGATCATGCTCCTTTTTGGTGTTATGTTACAAAACTAGAAAAATTGGGAGGAGGTGGTAATACTAGGTTTAAATGCAATTACTGTCAACAAGAGTACAGGGGGTCATACTTTAGGGTCAAGGCACATTTGTTAAAACTTTCTGGCAATGGGATTAGAGTGTGCCCCAAAGTGACTCCGCAACACCTTGCTGAAATGCAAAGGAAAATTGAAGAAGCTGAGAAGAGGTTAAAGATGGTTATGCCTAAAAAAGTTCCTTTACCACCTTCCACCCAATCTACTTCAACAAGTTCAGGGGCTTTAGATATTGGAGGATTTAGGATGGAGGGGGTATGAGCCAAGAAAAAGAAAGGCTACTGGAACTTCTGCTCTAGAAAAGGCATTCAACCCAGTTATTCGTGAACAACTACATTCTGAGATTGCTCACATGTTTTATTCAGCGGGGTTACCTTTTCATTTATCAAGGAACCCATATTATGTTAGTGCATTTCAATTTGCTGCCAACAATCCAATTCCTGGTTATGTACCACCCGGTTATAACTTGTTGAGGACTACATTGCTTCAAAAGGAAATGGCTAATGTAGAGAGGTTGTTGGAGCCAACTAGAGCATCATGGAAGGAAAAAGGGTTAAGTATTGTTTCAAATGGATGGACTGATTCTCAAAGAAGGCCCCTTATTAATTTTATGGGAGCATCAGAAGCTGGGACAGTGTTCTTGAAAGCTGTTAATTGTGAAGGCGAGCATAAAGACAAGTTTTTTATTTCCAACTTAATTAGTCAAGCAATTGAAGAAATTGGACATCAGAATGTCATTCAAGTCATTACAGATAATGCTCCCGTGTGTAGTGCAGCTGGTTTACTCATTGAAAGTAAGTACCCGAATATCTTTTGGACACCATGTGTAGTTCACACATTGAATCTTGCTCTTAAGAACATTTGTGCTCCAAAGGAAACAGGGGGTACTGCTTTTGCTTATGATGAATGTCACTGGATCACACTTTGTGTTGATGATGTGATGTTTATCAAAAACTTCATCATGAACCATTCCATGCGGCTAGCTATTTTCAATGAATTTGTACCGTTGAAGTTGCTTGCTGTTGCAGATACACGTTTCGCATCTGCCATTATCATGCTCAAAAGGTTTAAACTTATAAAGCGTGGCTACCAATCAATGGTTATTAGTGACCAGTGGGTTTCTTACAAAGAAAACAATGTTGGGAAAGCCGCATCTGTGTAGGAAAAATTATTGAATGATGTATGGTGGGATAAGATTGATTATATTTTGACTTTTACATTGCTTATCTATGAGATGCTTAGGTTTTGTGACACTGACAAACCATGCCTTCACTTAGTCTATGAAATGTGGGACACCATGATTGAAAAGGTAAAGGCAAGCATCTTTAGGCATGAAGGGAAGCTAGTTCATGAGGAATCAATCTTTTATTCTGTTGTGCACAATATACTAGTTGAGAGGTGGTCCAAAAGTAACACTCCTCTTCATTGCCTTGAACATTCTTTGAATCCAAGGTAATAGCTTAATTCATACTCTTACTAATTACATTTCTTTGTTGACATTTGTCTTTTAATATGAATAACATAATTTAATTTTAAAGCTTTCTAATGTTGTAATCTAGGTATTATAGTTCAACGTGGCTTGATGAAAATCCCAATCGTGTCCCTCCTCATAGGGATGAAGAAATTTCAAGTATGAGAAACAAGTGCTTCAAGAAATACTTTCCAAATTTAGAGGAGAGACGGGTTGTAAATGTGGAATATGCCAAGTTTTCAGGAGGTTTGGATATGTTTGGAGATTTTGACTCAAAGATTGATAGAGGAGTATTGGATCCACTTATTTGGTGGTTTACACATGGGTCTCCTGCTCCTATGCTTCAATCTTTAGCATTAAAATTGCTTGGCCAGCCATGTTCCTCATCATGCTGTGAAAGGAATTGGAGCACCTACTCCTTTATTCACTCCATGAAAAGAAACAAAATGACAACACAACGTGCTGAAGATTTGGTTTTTGTGCACAACAATCTTCGTCTCCTATCAAGGAGAAGTCGACAGTACATTGAAGGAGAATCCAAGTTATGGGATGTTGGTGGAGATGCTTTTGATTCATTGGAGGGTGCAGGCTTACTTGAAATTGCAAGCCTTTGTCTTGATGAACCAGATATGGAAGCTGTGATATTCACTGATGAAGGGGAATAAGTTGAACCTATTGATGTTGAAGACTCTTAGTTCATAGGAATCTCTCTTTTTTTATCAAGTTGTCTTTTGTTTTAAGTTTTATTTTTATGTATGCTACATTACCAAAAATTGTTGAAGTTTTATTTTATGTATGTTACATTACTAAAAATTGTTGAAGTTTTATTTTATGTATGTTACATTACTAAAAATTGTTGAAGTTTTATTTTATGTATGTTACATTTTTTGGCTATTTTAGTAGGTTAAAATTTTTGTGTTTGGGAAGATGATTGGATTTTTTTGTGGTTGGATGTGATGTTTGTGAGAGAAAAAGTGAAATGATTATGGGTTTGATGTGATATTTTGTCTTATTAGCTATTTTAGCCTATTTTGTCTTTTTGTGATTTTTAGCCTAAACTAGGCTATTTTTTTTCTTCCCAAACACCCCCTATATTACTAAATATTTTTTTTGAACGTATCCCCATCGTATCCGTATCCTACTTTTTCGAATTTTGCCGTATCGCCGTATCCGTATCGTATCGTACCCGTATCCCGTATCCGTATCCGTGCTTCCTAGGAATCCGGCAATCCGAGCATGAGCCGGGGTCTGAAGGAGCAGCACCTGAATGTGCAGTGTGTCTGAGTAAGATTGAAGAAGGAGATGAGATCAGAGAGCTGAGGTGTGATCACCTCTTTCATAGGATGTGTTTGGATAGATGGGTTGGGTATAATCAGGAAACATGTCCTCTATGTCGTGGTTCTCTAGCTCCACGTAGAAGTATTACAGAGCTTGGAATGGAAGTGTTGTCTTTCAAGTTTTGTTCTTTCAGTTCAAGCAACCGGGATTCGAGGTGGCTACGCTGAGTAAAGGTATTTTTAGTATTTTTAAATTTTGAGGAAATGTTAATTTGATAACTGTAATCTTAATTATATGTATGTGTAGTCGAGGGAATGGTCAATGTTATACCTCGCTTGTAATTTTTTCTCACAGTGAAATGGTAATGATAATAAATGAAATCCAATTTTAGAGAATGAATGAAAAAAAGTGTATTCATCGCATTTAAAATTATGAATTAAACTTGTTATTGTACCAAAAAGTGTATTGATCTCTACCAATCATGAACAAAGACATTTGGGGAGGGGATATAAAAAAATCTGATAGCACTATTTTGAGACTATTGGCAATGGTTTTGATATTGATTTTACCTAAATTGTAATTCAGTGGAAGTTAGCCCCAAAAAAAAAATTAAAATTAAAATTAAATTAAATTAATTAACAAATTAAATTAATTATTGACATGGGTAAGCCCATTAAGGATATGACCCACCACTTAAGGCACAATCCATGACTCAAATACTAAAGGTCAACATTCTTGGAACCCAACGCTACACCAAGCGCCAATGACATCTAAACACCTGGCAAGTGCAGAACTAGCCACATCAGCAGACAAAGATCCTGCAAAGTTATTATACCACACATCAGCCATTAATGAGCTCCCCTGCAGCATTTATTACGATAACCCTTCACGTTGGAACAGAATAGCCTCACCATGAACAAGGCAAGCTAGAGCATAGACTTTCGGCCAACATGACGGCTCAGAGTAGACAAGGAAATGATGAGCAAAGGATATAAGCAAGTCTCTGAGACGAGAAAAATGTTAAGTTCTCTATCACCATTCTATCTCTACATTCCACCATCCTCTCCCTTCTCTAACTTGATCGTCGGAGGGTTTACTGGGGGACTTCCTGTTCCCCGTTGAACTTTTGTGCAGGTCTCTCTGCAAACTCGACGCTCGGGCAACTATTTGAGAAGCGTGGATCAATCTGACCCGTTCCATCTGGAGCACTAAGTATCATCAGTTGGCGCCGTCTGTGGGAATCCTTTTGCGCCGTGTGGCAACTGTGCCCATTGTCGCCGGAGACCCATTCCCGATATTCCTTACCTGCCATCCACCCAGGTGGATGGTCGCAATTAGATCCATGGCCTCTCAACACAATGTTGCCGACCCCCACGCCGACCCTCCTAACCAAAACAACCCACCGCCGTATTTCACAGAACTCACCAACAGCATTAACTGGTTAGCCGAGTAAAACCAAGCCCTGATCAATGCTTTGCTTCAAAGAGACCTCTCCATACCTCCACCACCACCTCAAGATATACCACCCAATCGAGAACGAGCCTCGAGCCACCCCATCTAACAATCCCAACCATCTAACTTGGAGGGCTTGCGACCCCCTCCTCCAGAAATGAACCCGCCACCTCGACCCCTACACCCATCGTTCCAAGCGCCTACACCCAAGGGAGAGGCCAGTAGTGTCCAACCTCCATTGCATTCCGGCGGTGACAACGTTCCCCTTTGGGATGCCAAACTTCGAGCCATGAAACTCTAACTTCAAGGAGTCATGCAGAGCATATAGAATAAACCCTCCACCACAACCAACTCACCATTTGTTGCCTCTATTACCTCCTAAGTTCAAAATGCCCTCGATCGACTCTTTTGACGGTACAACGAACCCAGTCAACCACTTGGAGACTTACAGGACCCTCATGGTCCTCCATGCATTCCCTGATGAGATCATGTGTCGAGATTTCCCCGTAACACTTAAGGGGTCGACCCGATTCTGGTTTAGTCAGCTACCGACAGACTCTGTCTCTACTTTTCAGCACCTAAGTGACTCCTTTTTCAGCCACTTCATTGGTGCCCAACGCCAATGGCGTTCGGCAACCCAACTCCTCAACATCCGTCAGACCGAGGGGGAATCCCTGCGCAGCTTAGTCACCCGCTTCAACACCGAAGCCTTGTAGGTGACGGAAAACGATGATAAGGTCATTCTCACGGCTTTCATGGCTGGTCTACAATCATCCAATTTCCTTTTCTCCCTCTCCAAAAAGCCTCCAACCTCCATGGCAACTCTCCTATCCAAAGCCCAAAAAAACATGAACGCTGAAGATTCTCTAGTCGCCCAACAAGATTCCACGACCAAAAACCCGACCCCCAAAGAGAAGAGACAAGACCCTGAAACCAGAAGCACCTTGTACACACAGCAAACACCTCAATATATCGACCGACTTGCTCAAGTCGACCAGTTGGCACCTATCCGACTGTTCGAGCGGTTCGAGCGGTACACACCCCTCAATTTCCCCATGGAACAAGTCTTGAACTAGATCTAATGAGATTATCCCTTGAAATGGCCCCAACCGTCAGGGTCTCCTTCCAACCGTCGAGATCAGTCCAAATACTACCGTTTCCATCAGGACCACGGTCACAATACCGAGGAATATGTTAATCTTAAAGACCAGGTTGAGGGCTTGATATGCCAGGAGCGTCTCAGTCGGTTCACAGCAACCCGCCCTCTGCAACGGCCAAGAACCGAACCTTCCAAAAACAATCACCGGCGCACCTCTCCTCCACAACCCATACAACCTAACCAAGGCGATAATCGGCCCCCACAGCAACCCCGGGCACAAGGCAACCCTCCCCCCTCCGGTTGGAGAGATCAGCATTATTGCTAGCGGGCTTGCTTGTGGAGGGCCATCCCGTTCGGCCCAACGGGCAGTACTTAAAAAAATAAGGCACGGCTCAGATAAAGAAGTTGCAACATTGGACTGCCCCTTCAAACATCCCAAGCAGTGGATGGAGCCCATCACCTTTATAGAGGCCGATTGCACAGGCATCTGTTACTCCCATGACGACCCCCTCGTCATTTCTGCTCTCCTCTCCAATTACAAAGTCAGACGGGTGCTTGTCGACAACGGTAGCTCCTCAGACATCATCTTCCTAAATGCCTATCGCTAGTTCAAAGTCGGGGAAGAAAGTTTGTTCCCTCTCCAAACCCCACTGGTTGGCTTCACTGGAGACCGGATAACCTCCACAGGCTCCATCGATCTTCCCATCACCATTGGAGAATACCCGCGGCAGACCACTAAGTTGCTCACTTTTCTCATCGTCGACTGTCCCTCTGCTTATAACATCATCCTCGGTCGCACAGCCCTTCATGCTTTTTAAGCTGTCACATCCACGTACCATCTGGCCATGAAATTTTCTACCGACCTCGGAGTCGGCACCGTGAAGGGAAAACAGACTCTAGCCAGAGAATGCTACATCGCTTCACTCAAAGAGGTCAAGCTGATGGAGACCATGATCAACGAATGACTCGATATTAGAGACGAAGACGAGTTAGTCAGAGGGGAACCAGTGGAAGAACTTGTTGAAGTCCCCATCGATCCCACCAACCTAGAAAAAATAGCCAAGATCGGCAGCCAACTATTCCCCCAAGCCAAGGCCGACCTTACAACCTTCCTGACCGAGCACAACGATGTGTTTGCTTGGACTCATTCTGACATGCTGGGAATCGATCCCTCCTTCGTCACTCATCGTCTGAGCATTGAGCCCCATTTCCGACCCTTCCGCTAGAAGCAGCACATCTTTCACCCAGAACGCAACGCTCTTGTTGCTTCTGAGGTAGATAAGCCACTGGAGGCACAATTTGTCAAGAACGTAGACTACCCCATATGGCTGTCAAATGTGGTCTTGGTCCAAAAAAACAACGGTAAATGGCGACTCTGTGTCAACTACTCCGACCTCAATCAAGCTTGCCCCAAAGACAGTTATCCCCTTCCTCGCATAGATTTGCTTGTCGACGCTACGGTCGGACATCAAATGCTTAGTTTCATGAACGCTTTTTCTGGCTACAATCAAATTCTCATGCACCCATCTGACCAAGAACATACCTCCTTCATCACTGACTGAGGAACCTACCACTATCGTGTCATGCCATTTGGGTTGAAAAATGCCGGAGTAACTTACCAACGGTTGGTTAATGTCGTTTTTCATCACCAGATAGGTCAAAACATGGAAGTGTACGTCGATGACATGCTAGTCAAGAGCAAACTCTCCTCTAATCATCTGGCAGACCTGCGAGAGACCTTCGGCACCCTACGTAAGTACCAAATAAAGCTGAATCCAAAGAAATGTGCCCTCGATGTTGGATCTGAAAAATTCTTGGGTTTCATGGTCAGTCAATGGGGTATTGAGGCTAACCCCGAAAAA